GATCGTTTTACAAAATCGCAAAACTTAAGAAAAATGCTGAAAACTTAAGGTTGTCCTTTTCGCAATAGCAAGATAATTTCGATTGTGATACACTGCTGATTTATACAAAAAAACTTTTGTTTATACAAAGCAAAAATAATCTTCGAAAATGCCGCCACTCGCGGCCCGACGTCGACATCCAGCATGGCTAATTTGCAGATAATCRCATAGTCGGATTCTATGTAAAGAAATTCAAAAATATCTGTAAAATTCCAAAACGAATATTTAAAAAATAGCCCTGTAGATGTGATCAATTGTTATTGTCCGCCATTTTGTTTTTTCTCCCAACGCATGCGCAGTGCGTCCTTCTTCAGTGTCGAAATAGCCTCTACCGACGCCTCTACCGAAACCCCCCAAAAATTTGACGACTAATTTGCACAACAATGAGCACCCACAATGCAATGCGTGGTATAAGTTATACCAAGTATTCTTGCATGTGGTTTCTGTATGGGTTTTAGTTGTGATTTATCTTCTGAACCAGGCGGCTTCAGTTGTCATTGACGTTTGTCGATAATTCTCAAGAAACGATGGCCTAGATCTCCTGATGACTTTTCAGTCTGTAATGAACAACGTTTGAGGTACGTAGAAGCACTACGTAAATATCAATTTCACTTCATGAATCTTTCTTTGATGTCACATTCTTGCACGCGGCAGTTCKCTTGCCGTCAAATTGTCTTGTAAAGCTATGCAATTTTAGTTCTTTTTTTGAAGTGTGATCAAAAATCAAAAAGCGTCCAATTTCACTTTTCTGTTGTCAAAATGTAAACTGCACAGCCCTAGTTCTTCTCTCCACTCATCTTAAATATTTGAAGCAAAGCAAAAATGACGACCTTCTTTCGCACTGCTGTGTAAACGCATTTTAGTCGACTTTTTTTAAAAGAAATGTAAGTTAACATCAATGACTGTACCTTCTATTAACGGTTTCCTACGGAACTAGAACTATTCTAATCCAGTTTTTCTGAGTTTAGGCCACTTCCTCTCACAGCTGTAAGCTTATCGTAAGTCCTCTTTCGGTGAAGATGAAAAATTGTTTTCATTTACTTAAATACATATATGACTTTTATACTTTCCAAGCTATAGATTATAAAGAGTGCTTTTCGCTTTTCAAAATCAAAACCACAGAAGTATTTGAAACTTATCGTCTTGGATTAACTTTGACGGCCAGTTTCTTTTTCGATGGTAGTGCTTTGGTGCAAAATTCAAAAAGCAATTATCAATTTAAGTTAATCAAATTTTTCCCCCTTTCATATTCAAGGTGAATGTAAACATAAATGTGTTTTCGTTAAAACCATCCWCAATCACGATTTATTTTTATTCACAAAATTTTTTATCCATTCGAAAGTTTTATCCATTCTAGAAATTTAACCATTCAATATTATCCATTCAAGACTATTTATCCATTCAAAAAACGTACTTACTAAAAAGGCGCAATGTACAATGAGCTACAATGACCTACAATGAGCTACAATGACCTACAATGAGCTACAATGACCTACAATGAGCTACAATGATCTACAATGTGCTACCAAAGGATCTTCCACGACCTACAATTAGTTAGTAATGAGCTAGAAAGAGAACTAAAAGAGCGAAAACGAGCTAATATAAACACACGTTTGGGCAGTAAACCAATCAGGTTTTGCTATCGTTGAAGGCTAGGAGTATTTTGTCGATTATTAAACACCTTAAACTGTCACCTAGTGGCTTTCCCATAGCGTAACTTCTGCCATATTTATTTATTTCATAAGTTTCCAGTTTTTACAACTGTAAAAATGAACTAAACGAGTAAAAACATGCCGATCGTGTGAACGAAACGTCCCTTCAACGATAGCAAAACCTGATTGGTTAACTGCCCYAGCGTGTTGATTTCATTGGCAAAACTAAACGTTTCACAGACAAAGTGTCGCGTTTCAAACGTAAACAAACGCAAAATTTTGGCAGCGGTGAATGGTTAAACGAAAATGGTAGCAATATTTGCAGTTTTCAAGTTCAAWATATTAAAGGACTGTTAAATGACAGAAAGTACGCAATTTAGATGCAGCAAGTACACAATTTAAGTGAAAGGTAACTTTATTTTGATTAATTATCAATAGTTTTAAGTTTATGTAGTTTCAAACTAGTTTATAGTAGCTCGTTTTCACTCTTTAACTCTCTTCCTAGCTCATTGTAA